CCTACGCTTTTTTGCTCGGAAAGGATGGCTTTGGAATAGGAATTACTAAGGTTGCAAGGTCGTTCCGCCGCCTAAGCGACATCCTTAGCGAACGGAAAGTGAATAAGATCTGGATTATCGTGTGGCCATTAGCAAGGTTGCCACGGAAAGCGATCTCTGCAGCGTTGTTCAGAGCTGTTATGGGCAGTTCCAAATGGCCGCAAAGTGATTACTGCATGGACATCGCTGGCCGAAAAAGATGAGAAGATCTGGAAAAACTTGGTGGAAATGTGGACGAGGGTCTCGATGAAACGCTGTCGAAAAAAGGTGGACCAAAACAATGCATTGCTACGGCGAACTCGAAGATTAAAGCCGGCAAGGTTTTCTGTGAGAAAGGGACCTCGGAGACTGTGCTTACAGTCTGCCCCAAAATTGGCATGGCGGGAGTCCGTGTCGCGAGGGTATTGCGTCACGTTTACGGCTAGCTAGTCTGCTCCCTCCTCATTCTCTTCCTCTCTGCGACGGCGCGCGTGTACAGCGCAAACCCCTAGCGCTGCGAGCGCGCAAATGCAGCCGACGGTTTGGCCTGATCCCGATTGGGCAGATTGTAATTCTACAGTGTTGCTAGTGTAGTAGCTAATGCCAAATTGTTGTAGAATTGCATTCGTAAGAGGGTCGCAAAGGAAGTTGAGCTACGCGAATTGAAGCCGCTGCCGATGAGGGCATCGGCAACAGAGGGGGAGGCATGTGGAAGCCGCGTTTTCGAGCGCCCTTCCAAGCGTCGTGCGGGCACGATGGACGCGACATGCCGTGAGTGGTCCCGCCGGGAATGTGGCCTCGGGTGATACGGCAATGCGTGTCGAAATTCATTCAGTTTCTTCTTCTGCTAGATCCGACATCCCCGCGTGCTACGTTTGCCTCCTATTTTTTGTGTCTTCCTACTCTCTTGATCCCCACTTACCGGGCTGTATTTTCTACTCTGTTTGGTGTTTTTTCTATTTTATTTTTGTTGTTGTTTTAGGCAATACATAGTCAGCCGGAGCCGAGTTTTAAGCTGAGGTATCACCGCCAGGTCTTTGTTTTTCTTTTCTGATGCCGTGATTACAAGCTTGATTCCGTCCAATTACCTCATCTAGGTCTACCTTTGGGTCTTTTGCCTGGTGCCTCCACTGCCAAGGCTAATGTGATGTGGCCTTCATCCCTTCTGCGCAGTATTCATACAACGTATCCTCTTTTTCTGCATTTTCTGGGCAACTTGAGCTATTTTCCTTCGGGCTCGTATAGTAGTGTCATTGCGATGTGGTCTTTCAGTGTGACTCCTAAGGTCTATCGTAATTGTTGTTTCCCACAATGAGCTTGCACTGCTTCCGCATACATGGCCAGCATTCACTGCTATAGTGCTGCTGGGCGGATAACGGTCCGGTGCTCCATCGTATACGTACATTGAGCCTGATAAAAGAAGTCCTTGAGCATAATGACTGTCACATTCCTAATTAGCATCTCAAAGAACCCTTGGAAATCAAGTCCTGATACCTGTTTATTTGTTGGATTCCACGCCCACCGATCCAATGGGTTGATTCGGAGCATAGTTATTGAAAGGGCCAAATGAGTTTTGTTTTTTTGGCTTAGACGATTTATGCGATCCAAAAATCTACCATGCAGTCAATAGACCGAACCAGACCTTTGTTTTTTTTTCGAGCCGTTATTAGATTCAAAATAGTAGGTGGGGTAATTATCGCGCTTAAAAATCACGATTGTGGGGGTACTGGGAGATCCAAGAGCAAGGCAGACTGTTAGTCATCTCCCTTTTCTATGAACGATTTGCTGCCGCAGGTTAAGGCACAGAGAGAATTTCATTGCTGTAAATGTTTTTTTTACCTTAATAGAAATAATCAATGTTATTTTTGGTTTTTTGGTGAAGGTTGTGCATGTTTTTTGTCCTTGAGGGCAGTTCTTGAACAAAAAATTAATCTCTACAAGTTTGTGGGCCTTATTCCAGCTCCAAGGCCCTTATGCATTGACGTCCCTTCATAAGGGGAGCGACCTGATTATAAAAGGGCCGCAGCGAATGGCGCTTCTTCATCACTGGGACACCGCTCTCCTCGTCGCAAAGATGTTCATGCATGTGAGCCTAACTCATGCTGGATTTGGAATACCTGTGCAGAGTCATAGGGTCCTCGCTTTCAAACTTAGAATCATAACCCAGTTATGAAGACTCATTGCAGTGCCAGATCGGCCAGCGTCTGAAATGGCGTGAAGATGCCTTAAAGGCAGCGGCTCGGCAGATTCTCGACCTGAAGTTTTTTTTGCTTACCTAGGGTAATGGGCGCCGATTCCGAAGATCCACCTTGAAGAGGCGAAAGTGGCAAAACCACCATTTCCCAAGGCCTACAATTTTGAATTTGGACGAGTGGACCGCGTCTTGCCATGGTTAGAGAGGCAGAATCGTTGCGAGACCCCCGCAGTGATGACTCTGCGGCATGCCTTCTCTGGCGAGTCCGGGAGGATCGCAAGCTCGTCCGCGCGTATTAAAATGGCTTGCGCATAATGGGATTTTCTCGGCAAGGGCAGCATGTTGTGCGCTCGGACCTGCTCTGTTCTCATGTTTGGGGTGCAAGCAACTTTCCATGTCAAAATTTCGGGATGTTCCGTTTTGGCGAGCCGCTCCCTTTGAGCCTAACGGGAGCTAGGTACAACTACGTTTTGAAAGATAGCTGCGGAGCAAGAGCGTCGTATGCGAAAGGGTAATAAGGCGCGTCGGAAACGAAAATATGTGGGATGTTGCCTAAAAAAGTGCAACCATGTCACTTAACGGCAGTGTGGTATGTAACAGCAAAACAAATTCCTAGTAATTCGATGTTGAATCAACATTTACACATCCATATTTGCCGGATAGAGTACATCGAAACCAAATCATAGGCGGTCCGATTGCTTTTTATAGTGTCATTTGACATTACACATAAAACACGCGCCTTTATAGGTATAACTAGGGGACATCTTACTGCAAAGAGATAGGTACGCAGTGTGCAAATTTGGACATACAGTTCCATGCTTGATTTGGTGCTAGGCCAAAACATGCGCTTAGGGGCTTCATAGAATCCATGTCTGAAGGAAAGCTGGAAAGGCATTCATGCGTGTTTTTGAAATTCTTATCCACTATTTCCTTGCAGTAAAGGCGCTCCTAACTTCGTCCATCCACAAATCAAAAATAAAGAGAAAGACAGATCTGAACTCAGCGTTCTATAGTAGGCAGCTTGTCTAAGGCCGTGGGCAACCTCTCGCGATTTAGGTCACCACGCGTTTTAGCAATTTGCCAGATGTCTTTAAATTCAATAGCGGCAGCCCCGAATGCACAGCATGTATAACTTTCGTAGGTCGATAAAATGCCCTGGCACATTCAAAAACCCTTTGAGATGAGTTATAAACAACTGGAGTATTGCCGAATCGCATCGCAATTGAAATCGCGGAGGTAGATCCTAAAGTGGACTTCGACTTCTGACTATTCTGTTTTTAGCAATACATTGCGTTCAGTAAACATGTGTTTGAAATTCCTTCTATCCAAACGGAGATGGTTTAGTTCATAGTCAGTTTGTGTACACTACAAAGCATATAAAAGCACGGTACTGCGACACAGGACAACAACATCCACTTCTAGCCTTCCTCTCCTAGCTTTCAATTCTTTGATTGTTCTTCTAAAACAACTGAAACAACAATTGAACATACTCTTCTTTGAGAAGTATTTGCCACAAAGCATCAAACATTTTTTTTATAATACTTACGTTGGAGTGGCAGTCCCAGGATTTCCGTTCGAGGGGGGAGGGGTGACGAAAATTTCTTCGGGATGCTTCTTAATTGGGCCCACGACCCAAAAATATTAGATAAAGGGTGCGTAGCTTCAGCGTGGCTGGAAATCTTTTTTGCGAATCTAATTTGAATTTAAACAAATTTAATCATTTACAATCTAACTACTACCAAAAACTTACTTGCACATTCATTATCAGTGTAAGCAACTATCAAAAACTTTGCGGGTGCCCCTCCTCTTCTCCTTCGGGCCGCCACTGTCAAGTTGTCATTGCTGTCTTTCTACTTCAAAGTACCGGGCTGATGCAAAACAAGTTTTTATACTCGAACTTTATGTCCTATAACTCTCCAGAATGAACTTTCTGAGTACAGTAAAGGCTAATGCGAACAGCAAACCTTTGGCTACGCAACATAAAAATTTGTATAATTGTAGCCATTGCAAGAAAGGTTTTGCAGCCTCAGGATTGTCAAAAAACACTTTTTTTGGAAAACTTTGCTTTGAAACAGCTTAACCTACTCTGAGATATAATAGATTGACCGAATTTATCACGATTACTTTTCACTCATTGCCCTTATAAAGTAGTGCAATGTCGCGAAAGACAGTATTTGCTTCAGTTTTTTGTGACTACGTTGGTGAATGCGATGGATGATATTAACTCCAAATTAAATTCTCATCAGCTCAAGTAGATGGATCTTATTGTTAACTAGTGCTCTGCTGCTGTTATCCACAAATCATGAGGAGTTGTCGTTTCTTCGACACTGCGATAAACTCCATCGCTATGGTTAGACTGCAACTATTTACAGGGTTATCTCAACGATATGCTGTTCTACAAACTCTTGTTGTTTGTACTGGTGGCAGTTGTGCAATGTGGTAAATATGTTGAATTAGTCCCTGTCGATGTCGAGGACGAGAGTTTCTTCTCTTACAGTAACTTCAAAAGCTTCGATGCGGTTGGAAGTTTGCTAGAACATTATGTGACATTCTTATGAGGTTCATTTACAGTGCATGCATTATTGCATGGATTATGATCGTCGCCTCAAATTCACCGGTTTTGCGCACCGCTGTTCCTCTGGCTGCAGGAAAAATTTCCCGAAGCACGAGCAAGAGAAATATGATAAGGAACACCGATTCTAACCTTTATCCAAACTTGAGATAAAGTATTGTTGCCGGAATGTTTTGATTTGCTCGGTAACATTCGGTTTGTTTATTAGCAGAAATGCTATAGAATCACATTGGCTCCAAGCTTTTGACAATTTTGTAAACTGAGATCGTGGGGCTTCAATCTCTCAATCAAGCAGGGGTTTTTGACCAGGTCATTAGTGGGTACAAGAATAAATGGATAGAAGGAGCATATTGGCATTCAGAATTTCCCCGCGAAAGGTGGTCTCAAACATATGCGGGGCTTATATTTGCAGGGAAGCAAGTTTAAGCCTCATCTTCATGCACAGAGAGGCCTAATAAGAACCGCAATCAGTGACCTGCGATCGAAAAACGTTAGTGTATATTCAAGAATTATAACTATTAACAGTAAGAGCCGCATGAGAATGAATTCTTGGTCACATTCCAAGTTCCAAATTCAATTGTCACTAAGCTTTCTTTCTGACTGAGTGTGGGCTCATTTTAAAGTGCTAGCAACTGAGCCTGATTTAATATACTGGCGGGCAAACAATTATGCTCTAGCTGAAGGAGCGTCCACGCAAAATTTCGCCTTCCATGTTTTTGTCATTGCCTTTCAGCCATTTGCCTTTCCATGGCCCTGGTTACAGTTATTGGTACAAGTTATCCAAACCCCAAATAACCCGATCTCTGGGAGTGCTTCCTGAAAACCCTTTTCAAGAAGAAGAGGGCTTTCAATACTTGAGTGGGAGGGGCTTGATAGAATGTGGGCGGGGCTTGACAGCACTTTGGCTAATCCAGGCCTATTATCTCCATTCAGAGACAACACGAGAGGACCGGATCAACGCAGGCGCCCCTCTCCTGAGCCTAAACTCAGGACTGACCTAATCAGAAGGAGTTAGATTTAACCTGGACATTGCATTCCAAAGTATTTTGAGTGATCGAAGCTGGAGTGCGTAACCAACCGATTTCCATGAGAACAGCAAACCAGTAGAGATGCTTAGAGACTGGTACCGTAACTTGAAGTCTTGAATAGTGAAAAATTCTCAAAGAATCCAAAACAGTCATTCAAAATGGATTCGTTCCTTCAATGATTTTATACATGATTTCTTTGTAGGTCCTTCTGAAAGTTTGTTGTCGTTTACTACCCGTCACGAAAACATGTGAAATAAACCGAAATGCTTCAGACCCCTTCAACACCCCATTTCCTTCCCTTTTTAGGAGTCATGTTTTTGGACTAGTTACTCTATGGTCACTAATAAATTGCCAAAAAAACCCATGGTTTTTATCATGCCTAAAACTGGTTTTTGCAAAATTTTCACTTTACACTTCTGGAAAAGGTTTAGTGTGATAGAGTCAAACGACATGCATTGATTTGGATGTTTTTGAACATTTTCAATTAGCTTCAAGAATTTTCATCGAAAAGCCTTCACTTTTGTGAAGTTGTGTCACTTGAGCCTTCGAACGTTAAAAAAATCTGGAAGCTCCACCAGTTGATTAGGATATCAATCTTATCGTGCGAATGGACAATAATTGCTCCAAATACTGATTCTGAAAATTTTGGATACAGTCATTGGCTTGCTCGGAGTTGACGATTGTGATTCATACATTGTCTTCATGGATTGGAGAAGAAAATCCCTGCTCAAAAGATGGAAACAACTGTTTAGAAGGACGCCTGAACTCACCTTTTTGTTGTCTTGTGAAGTTTGGCTTGACCGAATTTGGCACGTAACCAGCTTCAGAAAATTCGAAAAGCTAGGTGGAGATGCCAAAAGAGCGTTGCTACACTTCGTTTACTTCATCCACTGCTAGTAATTCCCCAAAAGTTTAGAACGAAGATTCCAAAAATTATTGAAGTTTGACATGGTTCTAAATTTCGTCAAATTCTAGTGAATGCAAAAGGAGGAGGAAAAGCTGGGTCGATTAACTTTGATGTCCAGGTAAGTTTCGTTCCTTGTTCCGCTATATGTCAATCAAAATAATTACGGAGTGATCTTCCGCTCTGCTAAACAGTCTAGCAGAATGAATCATAGGCTATTTGTTTTAGACTGAAATCGTAGCAGCAGTAAATACAGAGTTGCTTCCTAATTGAATGAAATGTAATATGAGGAAGTCATGAGAGTTTCAGAAGAAACTCAGTTAACCCGCTCAAGTAAAGTAAAAGAACGGTCGCCTGAACCCAAAACTGCTTTTTTGTCCAGCAAATCGTTTAGCAAATATGGAGAGCTGACATGGTTCAATCAAAGCGTACATATAGATTTTGATGTAAAGGCCATTTCAAGTCAAATGCGTTCTCTTGTACTAACTTTACTGACATACTTAGAGCTCACATCAAGATCTATAGCAGCGATTAGAAATTGAGTCTTCTGCAACTTACTAAAGAGTTTGCACATTTTGTGCAGCTCCGAATGCTTAGGTGTTCGATTTAATGCAAATACACAGATCAGAAATGATTTACAGTCTCTATTCATCAACAAACCCTCAGGTACCCATAGAGTAATAAAACCCGTTTTCACGCAGGGCAGGGTAGGCTTAAGCTCAAGGGTTAAACCCTACTTTTGAGGGTAAACCTTACCCTGGAAGGCGGCTAACCCGCCCGTATTCATCAAAGACTCTGAGGGTAAATCCTACCCTCAAAGACGTGGCTCATCAAGGCAAATCTAACCCTAGCATAATGAAATAACCCTGGCACTTCGTACAAACATAAAATGATCTATCAGTGCACAAACAAATACTTCAATTATTATTATCTCGATTTCCTAAGTCCTTTTTTCTCCTCGCCCAAATAGCTACGATAATGATCATGCATCATGTATTGGTGGACTAAAATTTTGATAAAGGAGATGAGGGAGTTCCATGTTACAAAAATTTTTCGAGTTGTTGAGCTGTATCGCGGCTCGGTGTGCTCAGCACCTCACCTAGTGCTCGTCCGCCTGACAACACAACTCCCTACTCCCGGATGTACTGCTTCGGCGCTAGCATGCGCACTCCTAGCGCGTGCGACGCCAACGCCCCAAACCCGTACGACACAAATATCACACGCTCGACTAGTTCAGATTACATTTATCTACAAATATACACAACGATAAACACCTAATATTACTAAAACTACTAAAACTATTAAAACCACTAAAACTACTACTTCAAACCCCGGAAAAATTAGGCATGGGACGAGCCGCCTCGTCCCGTGCTGCCGATGCCTGATGGTGATCAACTTCAACAAGTAGTTCCGGGTTCTCCGATGGGTCAACCGTAAGTCCTTAGCCCTTGCGGGACAGTGTGACCCCTCTCCACTCCCGCAATCCTTTCCTACTACTCGTCAGACTACAACACTAAGCTGCGCGTCTCCAAAACAAGAAGATCATCAAAGGCTCTACCACTCGAAACCGTCGATCATCTGCGGGAGCTACTGGAGGCGCTGCCAGCGGATTGATATCATCAAAAATCGATAATGAACGAAGCTCGAAGAGGCGTAGACCGCGGCCTGCGCGCCCTTATATACCATGAGACTTCGCAACGCGCCCAGCTGGAGAGGTCTTGGCGCGAAATTGATATCGCGCTAAGTAACGCGATAGCCGGCGCTCTCGGCCTCCTGTTTCGAGGAGTGGCTTGCATCGCGCCGCAACAAGCTGATATTCGCCATATATTATCCCTTAGTTGGACTTGTACTCTATTCAGAACTAAATCTACTATAACAGCTCGGCCGAATACAATACTGGATGATAAGATTAAATGAAAACACGAAAAGAGGCCATAGGATACTTGAGATTATGGTAACCATAAATATGTGTTTATTGTCAAAACAGTATCGCTTGGGCTGAGCAGTGCATCGAGAGATCACTTGATGTTTGTACAGAATTTCAGAGTGAATTCTAATCTTGCTATACGCTAGGGTTAAATTTACCATGATGAGCCACGTTCGTGAGTACTCAAAGGTAGGATTTACCCTCAAGTTCGTTGATCGATACGGGTTAATAACTTTCCGAGGTAAATCTACCCTGCCCTTAAGGATTCGTGGATGAATACGGCCACTGCTTTCGCTCAAGTCTACAGCTTGCTAACGTGGTCGTGATGAGAATACCTGTCTTTTCTCTCCTTTCTCTCCGGCAATGTAGCTCAAACTCCTAGCGCTGGGAGACTCAAGGCAACTCATTTTTAAGTTGGTTGAGCCTTCAAGTCGCAACTTCAGAGCGAAAACTCATAACAGTCACAGATATTTTTGATTTCAAACATAAAGAACGGAAGTATTACATATGGAGAGTAAGTTGTAACAGTCTCCATTTCTGACAGTATGTAATAAATCCAATTAGAACGTTGAATATGACTGAATAAATTCGAGAAGATTTACGAGAGTCATTTATTAGAGATCTCATGGAACACAATAATCATAATGAAAAAAAATGATTTTAAATCGTGTCAAGCTTTGCCAAATTTTGGTAGTGAATCGTTGTACTTTATCATTACGATGATATCAACATTGGGGGGTTGGGGTACGTTTAAGTATATGGAGTACATCGAGAGCAGTGGCGGTGTGAAAAAATTTTTTATAAGTGGACAAAAATCGGGAATACCTAGGGGGTCTGTGCAGCCAAGTCTTCAAACAATTATTTTACATAGGTTCTTTTGATTAGCAAGCAAAAGCAGTCACTTCTAACAATTTCAAAACCCAAGTAGGCAACTTCTTAAAATTTTGCCAGTCAGTCTCGAGAGCCCTCCCCTTCTGCCCGCCACTAATCGTGAGTAATAACAATTTCGTGAATGTCTTGAAGTTTAAGCTCAGATCAAGAATAAAACTGTGCCTGATGATCAAAATTCAATATACACACAAGAAAACTCTACAGAACTACACTATTTTCTTCAGTTTTACTTCGTTGTGAGATCAATTGAGCGTTCTCCTTCTCCTTGTGTTCGATGCCAGCGAAAAGGCTCTTGCGTTTGCCTGAATGTATACTTGCATTGATTATTGATATCGAAATTTTGAATTTTTACTGCTACCAAAGTTTTCCGCGTCTTCGATCGTCATAGGAAGTGGTGCTCCCAAAGTTTCTGGTAGGAAAAATGTGCAAACTCCAGCTGATAACGCCATAAAACCCATAATGAGCAATGGTAGAATTTTTATGTAGTCACCCTGGAAAGGTTAATGCTTTTTGGCTATAAAAGTAATTTCAGCTCACCAGTCTGACTATATGTGGAGCAAGCAGTAGACCTGAACCAGCGACCATGCTGCTCATGCCCATACCAATCGCTCGGACAACTAAAAAAATTAGAAATCGTGCCCGTTACGAACTGAGGTGAGTTGCTAGCTACAGTTGTGAGAATAGTTAGATCATTCTCGCTAGACTCGCAGTACGCAAATCTCGCAAATCCCGCACATATCACGAATCTTACGAACCTATGTAGCGTGAACAGACGATTCTAATCGCCATTAGTGTATAGATCAAAAAATAAGTAATTATATAGAACATTACTTCGTGTAAGAGCCACAATTAGTATGGAAACAAAGCATTTTAAAGATGAAAATCTGAACTTTCTAGGGTCCTGGAATCCGGCTTTTCTCTCTTCTCGCGAGGAAAGAATGTATACCTTATAGGACTGTGAACCATAATTAATTTGGGCAAAGAGGAAGTGCTTTTGAATAAAAGCTTGATGATCTAACTGAGCTGATCTAATTTTGGAAATTACCTGTTGGGTAAAGTTCCCCAGCAAAGATGTAGATCACTGCGAATCCTGCGCCAACACCAAATTTCCCAACGAAGGAGGCAGAAGCCACGAGCCATGGATAGTCTAAGGAATTTTTGATACTGGGTTTCAAAACTAGTAAAAGTCTTTAACCTGACGACATGAACATAGCCGATACACAGCCTATCCCGCAGACAAGCATAGTTGAAGCGAGAGTCCATCTGTAAAATTTGAAAAATCATAAGCGGCTAGGAAAGGAAATTAGAAACTTTCACCTTCTTCCAATATTTTGTAGCAAAGGCCAAACTATAAAGTACGAGGGTAATTCTACTGCGCCATTGATGATAAAAGACCAATAGTCATCTACTGGCAAGTTCGAGACGTTCAATGTGAGTCCATTGTAGATTATAGCATTCATAACCCTAAACATTATCGGATTTGACTTTAAAAACTATACTTCTGGGAGAAAAATCTGCAAAGAAAAAAATTTCTTTAGGGAAGAAAATGATGATGACGACTTCAACGGTGAGATCTTGAAGGGCTAAAAGTGCCAAAACTACAGACCATATATACGTCACCAGTAACGTTTTCTTTCTCAGATTTGGTGTTCTGAACAGATCGGTGACGTTGTGACTTCGTTGTCCCTCTTCCACGATGGAATGCTGATTAGCTTTCAGCTGCAATCGAAGTGGTTTTCAACATCATTAAAGTTAAAAAATTCGCTTTATTAATTACCAAATCGACCAGCTCATCTACATTCACATCCGGTCTTCCATTTGTTCTGGCAATGCGCCGAAGTTGAGCCTTGGCTTCTTCCCATTTATTGGCAGATACAAGCCATCGAGGAGATTCCGGGAGAAAGCTGAGCAACAAAATCTGGATATGAGTTTGCGTATAAATTTTAATTAATTTTAACTCACAAATAATAACAGAAGAGAATTGCAAACGGAGCATTACAGAAGAAGGTCAGCTGTCGCCATCTGTAACAATGTTCAAGAAACTGCAGTACTCGTGCTTGATTACCCATTCCCCCTTTTTTCCCATGGTTTTTTCCCATTTTTGCTGAAGGTAAATCCTCCTTTGAAGGCTACCACAAGTATCAAAATCAGCGTTTTTTCTACAACACAACAAACATGGTAACATAGGCCATAATTTGAGTCCTAAGCGAATCAAACCATTTGAAAATTTTCCATTTATCAAAAATTTTCCCCACTCAGAAATTTACTACAACCGTACTGAGATACAAACGAGATTTATGCCCTTCAAAGAGAAATATTTCTTTAAATTATATGTATAGAATTTCAAGCGAAAATGGAAGCAGCCATAGAGTAGTAGATTTTACATCGAACTTATGCACTTGTTTGAAGAACTTTAATTCATAACAGCGCATGAATTCACCTTCTAATGAACATGGCTAGAACACCAAGAAGAGCCATAGCTGCACCGAAGAATAGCGAAATCATGAGACCAGAGAAGATACGTCCAGATTTACCCATAAATTCCATACCTGTAGGGAAACTTTCTGAAGAAGTGTTGCAGGATGATAAGAACTCACATATAATGAATGGAATTTGGAATAATGCTGGGAATGGTAATCCAGTCAGAAATCGCATAACAATGAAGGATTCGATGTTCTAAAATAGTTGACATTTTGAAGTAGCAGATAAATAACCATGGTTTACCTTGACGAAAGCGTTTATCGTTCCAAAAACTACAAGACATGTAAGAATGATGAAAAAACTACGGCGTCGACCGAATCTAGAAAAAATATCGAGTTGAAAAAATTTGTACAAAGCTCAGAAATAAGCTTACTTGTCCGCAATGTAGCCGAAAAGAAAATTGCCAATAAAGCTTCCCACATAAAAGGATGTTGTAGAGATTTCCACCCAGTGCTGATGATCACAAACAAGATTGAACTGCAAAATATTCGTAAATCTAGAGTATAAGTTTCATGAATTTCAGCTTGAAATCACAAAAAAAAACATTTTCCATTAATTTCGCATTTGCATTCAGCGCAGATGCTTGAGATTGAGAAAACCTTAGGTTAAAATAGAAGTCCAACAATGAGATTCAAAATAAAACAGTAACCAGGATATGAAAAAAAATTCTATGGAAAATTTTCACACCTCCGTGACGAGACTGTCCGTATACGTTGTGTTATCGTATTCCCAACCCATTTGACACGGAACTAGACTAATCTGGTCCCTAAACGACCTCAGAAGAATTTCTAGAATGGATAAATAGCTCAAGCTACGCATTACGGTAACTCTACCTACCTGTATGTCTCAATCGGTGCCGATGTGAATGATCTCCAATAGTCGACCTCTGTTTGATTGTATTGTAAGCAACTGAGCACTCTCTGTAACAAACAATTAGGATTATCAATGGTCAGCGCAAGTTGAAAAATAAATATTACTATTGATTTATATGTTTTAGTTAATTCATCTACTGAATGAGATTTTTTTCTAAAGAGTTAGCTCTAATACTGTTTCTAATCGTTTCACCTCGTCATTTGTGATAGGCCTGAGATCATCGCGAGCATAAGGGAGACGACAGTGATGAGGTGGTGAACCGACGACGAATGGTTGATTGAAAGCGGAGAATGCTGATGGTAGACTGGCAGGTAAGCAGATAATAAAGAAGAACAGAATTTGATATGGGCCAAAGTCTCCAACCTCAAATTTCAGAAAATCTACGCAATTCAGTAAGCTACAGAATGTCTTCCATGATCTCCATACTGTAAGAACTTACTTCGGTGAGGAGGTGGTCAAAGTCAAAATGCTGAGCTGCACCGAGAAGAATTTGAGCGCTGAGATCGACTAGTTGCTCCTAAAAAAGGTACGGTTGAAAGCAGATTGGAGGTCCTATCTCGATAATGCTGCTTTTTTCATAAGATGCCCGCAATTGACATTATTAGCAGTGAATTTTTAAGCTGCTGCTTAGTGCAGCATTTCTAACCTATTTTAATTATTTAGTGTATCTTTAAGGACTCATTACTTACATTTTCATGACTTTTTTATGATTTATTTCAAATATACATACCACCCAAAAATCAGCTCTCGAAATGTCTAAAATTTCGAACTTCTTGGCAGCAGTTTCAAACTTGAGTTATGGAAGAGTTTGTGCTCGCCAACTGCCATCGCATATGCACCGTTCTCATCCTTTGAAAAATTCTCCAAAAATAAAAAGAATAATGAGAGAAATTGTAAAGAAAAAATGAAGGTTGTATTATAATACCAAACCGTCGTTATATTCACTGTAACTCACTTCCGTGAATGAGGCCGCCAAGTGCGGAGTTGATTATGCTAGCCTTTCTATTACTCTTTCTTTTTTTCATGTTCTTTTTATCACGCGAGGGGGGGGGGGGGTGTCGAAAAAATTGAAGAGGACTTTGTAAAAATGTTTCAAAGTTCTAGAGGGTTCCGTTTCAAATCTCACTTCTTCCAGCTGGTGCTGATGACCATGAAGATGAAATGCTGCCAAGAAATCGTCTATCCTTTCTTCATACATGTTGAATATGAAATTTTGTTATCAGAATTTTCCAGAAGAAAAAGGAGGTGCAACAAAACTTATGTTATGGCCTAACGTTTCATTTCCTGGTTTTTATATAGACAAGTTAGCAACATCAATGTCACTCATTGACTCATTATCCGTTATATTATGTTCAAATTGATCTGGACTGCTACAGTCATCTGGACTTCGGACTTATTAACAGCTAATTCTGCTTCTGCTTTTTCACGCAACGTTCTACATGATTTGAAATGGAGGCTCAACAACTGAAATAAAAAAGATTGCGGAACTCACCATACTTTTTGAGCGATTGCTCGCTTGCTCGTCGTCCGGAGGGCTATCATCAGCAGTTGAAGAGGTCATTGAGGTAATGGATTTCGTCAAGATTGACGCTAGATCTGCTCGAATATGCGTTTTTTTGACTATCTTCGAGAGGGTTCGGGAAGCTCGCAGATCATTTGAAAAAGGCGGATTTGTTGCAAGGATGATGATGTGGAGTTTATAACAAAGTTAAGAAAATTCAGAAAACAACAGGAAGTCCTATTTTGAGTGAATTTTGATGGTATTACCTAAGATTTTCTTTTTGGAATCGGTCAAAACTCTCAGTGATGATCTGTAGTCAATAGCTTTAGGTTTGTTCGATCAACATGACTATATCAGAGTGGTGAGTAGACTTCTTCAAATTTCATGTTTAGTATGCGGGATACGTTAGGTTACAGCTCTTCAGTATTTTTCAAAAGATTTTTCCGAAAGTCTTCACTTTTGAGCTGTATGATACACGAATGCATCAAACACTTAGAAAATCTCGGAGCTCGAGAGTTCTACAGATCATCGACACTGATTTTACAAAGCAAATGAGCTTCCGCTTCGAGATATCGGATTTCTGAAGAGAGCTAGAACAAGAAAAAGTGTAGAAATTTGTGAAAATTCGTATTCTGATTACATCTTCATATAGAAAATTTCAAACCAGGAGAAATTCTCAAAAGTTTTGGAAAGATTATTTCTGGATTTTCCGTAACAATTTCTACACGTCACACATAAAAAGAAAAATTGCCAATAAATTCAAAATTTTTCGGTGTTTTCCGCACTTCAGAGTTTCTGACAATAGGCACCACACTGGTGCCATAAGGACAGTATAGAAAATATGGAAAAAAAGTAAAAAAGTAATTTTTTTTCATGGAAAAAACGCTAGGAAGGTGAGAAAGAGCTACGAAAAGAATCTTTTATACAGATTGTCATGAACTTGTGGCATGCAACAAACGGGTGGACAGACCTGTAATTCCCTGAGTATGGAGTAAATCTGAACTTTAGCAAGGTTAGGGGACTTTCCAGAAGCAAAGAAAAAGTGTATCACAAATTATCATACACATCAACATTCTTCTGTCGATAATGTTTGAAGTATTAATAATACTAGTAATCTTATTGATCAAGTAACATTTCAAAAAACTTGAAACTTGTGAAGGTTCTCAAAGATAAGAATGACCTTTCAATGAGCTAGACAGTGACATTTCTTCTTTTGCACAAGAAATCAATGTTAAGCGAATTAAAGCGTACTATCGCCAAAAATGCGATTATAGGGACCGGTTTTTGAAGGCATCGATACTATTGGTATGAATGAGTCGAGATTTTACATGCTTCCGTGGTTTTGAAGAAAAAAACCACTTCACTTATTGGCCAACGTGCTGTGAATACAAATAGTCAGCGCACTATTCGTAGAGATGAAAAAGCGAGTTTGCATTTTATACAACTCCCATTTACAAATATCTCAGAAAAACGTATTAGGTCATTTCATAAGTTTTGCGTTCCTTAGAAATCATAGTCTTAGTCTTAACAAATCCATTTTCTCTATTTTCAACAAATTCAAAAAATTCACACAGAAAATATGAGCTTGACCCAAATATAAAATTTTTTTTATATAAGCTATCATGGAGGTAGAAGCAAGTAAACAAAAGCAGTTACGTAAAGTTTTTATACTTTCCTGGAGTTGTTGAAAATGCTAAAAGACCAGCAAGTCGAAATTTACTTCTGAGCGTGGAATCACTAGTTAATTTTTTCTTCGAATTTGTACGGATTGGGATGTAAGAAATTTATAAACTTCGAGTTTGTTAGTCAATCATAATTCTACTTCTCGAAATCTCTAATTTGCACAGTAAAACAGAAAAATATTATTCTGTGTACAAGAAATAAAATATAAGTGGAAATATTTTTGAAAAGAGCCTTTTTTATTCGAGTTAGACTAGTAGACCTGAACTAAGGCCTTGTCTTCAAAATTTTGCATGTTAGCTGAATTGGTGGATTGTTACAACTGGCATTACTGAGGAATTTACACCATTAATTTCCGGACCCAAACATTTCAAGAAACTATTAGGTTGGCTAATAAATAAGTTCGGTTTGATGTGCTATTTCGAAATTTTATAACAATTCAACTAGCAGATTTTTAGCAGAGATTTTTTTGCGAATAGATAGCTTCAGCCCTCTACTATTATATATTAAGTACTCACAATTTTTTTCTATCAATAATTAGCAATTATGCCTTTATATGGCTAGCCTTTTAGAAATTTCGTTTTTTGAATTTCTAAGTTTCGTTCTCAGCCTATAGCGAGTGCACAGACGAGTAATTTGGTAATTAAATATGCACAACCTTTGGCTACATGGCGAACCACAATGGAGATTGTGATCTGTTGTTGGTGGAATTTCCCAGCCAAAAATGTGAGAATTTCCAGGCATTTGCGCACAGGAGTCAGTTTTTGGGCAATCCAGACCGATTGAGTTGGGCTATCTATGGACATGCAAACTGTTGAAAATTTCAAAAATTGGATGTGGATGCCAATTGTGCTACTCATACCCAATGTCACCTCATTTTTCGGGGCGTGATTTTTCGGAAATTCGATGAAAAAATCTGACTATTTCACTTTCCTGCACAAATTCGTTGTCAAAATGACGACTGGCACTCAAGCAGGGTAGACCATCCGATTCTTCCTAATTTGCTCTTTCCAATGCTACCAAACACTCTTACATAGATTGATTTCTAGAATTTCTACAGACCGTTGAAAACGACCGAACTTATTTTTTAGCCAACCTAATATTTAAGATCAGCATAACTGATTTTTCACAAATAGGAAATGTTTATAGAAAAAATAGGAGCACGCTTGAGCATGCTTATTCTCGAAATAAGCAATACTGAATAGTGTTGCTGATTATACCATGCTTAGTATCGAGTATCTAATATATAAAGAAACGTAAGCGCAAATCAAAAATCTGCAAATGGCGGGAAACCGCGTGGTGGTCCCGAAGCGACCGCTCTTCCAAATAGAACCTTTAGATCAGTGATTCTCTAGTAAACTTCAAAAGATGAAGAAGAAATTAGAATTCTCATTGAAATATTTCTAACCGAATAGCAGCAAAATCTATCATGCAGCTGAGGTGGCGAGCGTCTTGACCGTCCTTCTCGGGCAACTTAGGAAATAGGAAAAAGTGCAGCTAACCATAAGATGGAGCACTCCTATCTCTCATTGGATTTTGATTCTGAATTAGGCCTATGCGGTTCACTTCCAGGGAAAACTTGAGGAAGTTTTCACGTTTTTACTGATATGATGAATAAAGGAATGTATCATATACTACGAAAATTATCTGTTGCAAATATGAACTGCCTCACAGTCCTTGGATATTTGGAACTACTTGAAAATTTTAAGGAATTCATGCAAAGATTATCTTTTTACATAAACAAGAAAAAATGACATGATTAGCACTTGTTATTCGCAAAGCCACGAGAGACATTGTTTGTTTTGAGTCAAGTGACAAACAAAGAAAATCTGAAACGTTGGCAGAGTGAAACAGTGTGTTAATTTGTTTTCATTATAGGAAAAAACTTGCTGTTCAGAAAAACTTGTCTTGGGAAACTGATTTAGAATAGTGATTTTATGATGGAGTTTGTTTGGTCGCTTACATCTAAATGTTGATGACAACTAAAAAAGCCATTAATCGAATGCGAATTTGTAAGATTTGCAACAAAAGACTTTCGAGCCATGAAGATGTGTCTCAGTAAACAATTTGGTTTGAAATGGCTCGAAGGAGTTTTTGTACAGCCTACTATGCTCTCCTAGAGAAAACTTTTTTTTATAGGAAATTTATCTTTTAGTTTTTTCTTCTTTTCTCAACCGATTTGAGAACCAAGAATAGATGTCATAATCGTTCTGACCTTCTTTTTCTGCTGTCACTGTTCTGCTGACTTTTCTCATTTTTCTTTCGAAGGTAGCAGTTTCCTTGAAGGAAGGAAGATAAGTTTTAACTCAGAATTCCTTATGCACCACGTATATGCCTTCGGTGGACTGTTCACAAAATTCAAAGTTAATTTTTCCTTTTCTTTTTTTTTGCTATCATATAGCAAGCATCTTAGCCAGGGCTCGGCACGAGCTGGCACCAGGGAAATTTCAAAACGAAGTCCCGTTTGATATTGAAAATTTCGTACGAAGTCCCTTCTGACCTGTTTTGAAAACCCGTCATCATTTTAATATTATGTAAAAAATGTAGTAGTGTTTTCATGCATTTCTGATTTCATGAAAGAACTTTTCACAGCTTTCTGAGCTTTTTAAGTGGTCGAATCACATCTTGAGAAGCAGAAAAAGCCGATTTTTTGACTGCGGAGCGGACCGAGTGGTTTTCAAATTGCTATAAAACGCTGAAAAGAGAACATTATGAAACTGTTTCTTCTCCGTATGTAATCTTTTACAGTGTAGATACATTTTATGTAAAAAAGTATGAAAACATATGTGAGCAAAGTGTCGGCGCCAGCTCAGCTGGCAGCCAGTTGGCACGGTGCCAGCTATTTCAGAAAAAAGTTCGGCACAGCTTTCATTCACATAAGTTTTCATAAATTTTTGGCCCATAGTTCCGGTCCACCAACACGCATGCACACACCAAATTTGGTGTCATACTATTGCGTTTTGGCTGAAAACAACGCCTTTGTTTGTTTATCAGCTTGCCAATGGCATGCCGGTGGCATGCCGGCGGCATTTTTGCGGCAGTTCTCCGCCTCGGTCCCTGTGAAACGATATCGCTGCTTGGAAGCGCGATCTCTTGCTTATTACAGTAACCCATGTATCTTCTTATCTTGTAAGCTGATCTTTACAGAGAGCTCCGGCGACTATCAACAACTATAAAATGCAACATCACACGGCAAGGAATCTCGTCGCCCCGATGGGAATCGTCTTCTCTTCCCACTTTATTCACTCATGAGCCCGCAAGCTTTATACGCGTTTTGGTCATTTAACTCTGCCTTTGTAGCGCCTAGGTAAATCGCCTGGACATCAGATTATGATTGAATCATCGCATAATGTGTTTATTTGCAAAGTAAAGATCACGGT